TAAACTCTTTTAGGTTTTTTACAAAATAGAGACAGGGTCTTACTGTGTTGCCTTGGCTGGTCTTGAACCCCTGAGCTCAAGCGATCTCCCTGCCTCACCTTCCCAAAGTGCTGGGATTATAGGCATGAGCCACGGCCCCAGGCCCAAACTCTTTTAATTTATATGAGAAATCCAACAACTACTTTCATTTGTTTCCTTCTGGTATGTGGTAGAAGAGAAAAGTGACAATGATCCCCTCTGACATTACAAAGAAAATTTGCACGTTTATACCATTGAGAACACACAGGACTAGAAGTTAGGAATTATACGCACAGGACACAGCCACAATTTCCCTCACTCCCCCGCTTCCTTCCTCCCTCCCTCCCTCCGTTCCTTCCTCCCTTCCTCCCTTAGGAATTATATGCACAGGACACAGCCACAATTTCCCTCCCTCCCTTCTTCCCTTCCTCTCTTCCTCCCTCCCTCTCTCCCTCCCTCCGTCCCTCTCCCTCTCTTTCTCTCTTTCTCTTTCTTTCTTCCTTCTCACTCTGTCTCCTAGGCCGGAGTGCAGTGGCGCAAGCTTGGCTTGCTGGCTCGCTGCAACTTCGGCCTCCCAGGTTCAAGCAATTCTTAACCACTCTAGTAGCTGCAATTACAGTCATGTGCTACCACATCTAGCTAATTTTTATTTTTATTTTTCAGTAGTGACATGATTCGCCACATTGGTCAGGCTGGTTTTGAACTCCTGGTCTCAGGAGTTCCACTCACATCCACCTGCCTCGGCTTTCCAGAGTGCTGGGATTACAGGTGTGAGCCACTGCGCTTGGCCTAGCAACAATTTCTGATGCCCGAGTGACCTAAAACTCTTCTTTGAATTAACTTTTGCAAAGGCAGGGTTTTGTTTTGTTTTGTTTTTTTGTTTTTTTTTCTGAGATGGAATCTTGCTGTGTCACCCAGGCTGAACTGCAATGGCACGATCTCAGCTCACTGCGACCTCCACCTCACAGTTTCAAGCGATTCTCCTGCCTCAGCCTCCCAAGTAGCTGGGACTACAGGTGCCCGCCACCACACCTGGCTAATTTTTTGTATTTTTAGTAGAGACGGGGTTTCACCGTGTTAGCCAGGATGGTCTCGATCTCCTGACCTCAGGATCCACCCGCCTCGGCCTCCCAAAGTGCTGGGATTATAGGCGTGAGCCACCGCGCCCGGCCCTTGTTTTTGTTTTGATCTCCCCCACCCACAGTGTTGTGGACCACACTCTGCTTGTCAGACAGCTAAGGAGCAAAAGGGAGCATGTTCTGTTTATTTTACTGAAATTCCGAGGTGAAAGTGAATGGCTCACTGATGGGGGTCAGGGTGCATCACGTTTGGTTTTACACACAGATGGTCCTGACAAAGTGAACATCACCAGGGAGTCAGCATCGAAGATAGTCAGCACCATCGAGGTAGAGCTCAACTCCAGCGTGACCCTGCAGTGTTGTGCCGAGTCCAAGCCAGGCGCTGAGTATCGCTGGACTCTTGAACACTCCACCTGGGAGCACCTGGGAGAGCAACTGATCATCAAGGCTCTGACCTGGGAACACAACGGGATCTACAACTGCACAGCCTCCAACCCTCTCACCGGCCTGGCCCGCTCCGCTTCAGTCCTGGTCAAGGTGGTAGGTGAGTCTCTCAGGGTTGCCTTCAGGGGCCTTTCCTGATGCTGGTCCCAGCCACCTAGTCTACCCCTATAGAGGGCTGGAATGTGGCAGTCTCCACACTGCCTGAGCAGGTTCTCAGTCCCCAGTTGTTGAATCCTAACCCCTAATGCTCAGGGGAACGTAGAAATTCTACTTCCTGCTGTGTTCCCTGGAAAACTCTCCAAGCTGTTCTGAGCCTCAGTTTGTTTGCCTGTAAATTGGGTTTATGACGTGTATTAGTCCGTTTTCACGCTGCTGATAAAGACATGCCCAAGACTGGGTAATTTATAAAGAAAAAGAGGTTTAATGGACTCACAGTTCTGCGTGGCTAGGGAGGCCTCACAATCATGGTGGAAGGCGAAAGGCATGTCTTACATAATGGCAGACAAGAGAATGAGAACCAAGCAAAAGGGGAAACCCTTCATGAAACCATCAGATCTTGTGAGACTTATTCACTACCATAAGAACAATATGGGGGAAACCGCCCCCGTGATGAAATTATCTCCCAGAAGGTCCCTCTCACAACACTTGGGAATTATGGGAGCTACAATTCAAGATGAGATTTGGGCAGGGACACAGGCAAATCGTATCGTGACGCCTATCTTTCAGTCATTTAGGACAATGAGTCAGAGATATACCCAGTGAGGGAAGGAGTGAGCTATATGGGGAATCAGAAATGATGTTAATAGCAACTGGACATGACTGGCAGGGAGTCCCTGTATCTCTGTCTTTAGTTCTTGAGAAGGCAACAGTGTTACTGTTCACTGGGATTCACATCCTTCTTCAATGCTTATTAGCTGTGTGACCTTGGGCAAGTTACTTACCCTCTCTGGGCCTCTGATTTATTATCTAAAAAACATAATAATTCTGCCTATTTCTTAGGGTTGTTGAAGATTGTTAACATTTGTAAAGTTGTTAGGGCAGTGATTGGCATATTGTATTTGTTAAACAAATAAAATTATTCCTTTTTTTTTTTTTTTTTTTTTTGAGACAGGGTCTCACTCTGTCACCCAGGCTGGAGTGCAGTGGCAAGATCATGGGTCACTGAAGCCTCAACCTCCCAGTCTCAAGCCATCTTCCCACCTCAGCCTCCTGAGAAGCTGGGACTACAGGTGTGCACCACCACCCCCAGCTAATTTTTTATTTATGTATTTTTTGTAGAGATGGCCTCCCTATGTTGCACAACTCCTGGGCTGAAGTGATCCTCCTGCTTCGGCCTCCCAAAGTGCTAAGATTACAGACTTGAGCCGCCACGTTCAGCCTAAAATTATTATTTATTGAGCCTGTGCCACACGTCTGAATCCAACTTTCCCATATATAATATCAGCAGACACTTCTTGGGTACTTTCTTTCAGTCAGTTTTGAGGTGAGCCTGTTGGTTTCTTCATTGTACAGGAAGGGAAACTGAGATCTATAGACTCAAATCCTGTCATCGAGGTTTAAAACCAGGCTGGCCTCCTCAAGTTGTTCACTAAGCCTAGAACACGATTTATATCAACTTCCAAATTACCTCATTTAATCTTCAGAGCAATCTTGTGGTCTTGGTAAGACCATTTGATGGATGGAGCAACAGAGGCTCAGGTAAGGAAGCGGTGAGTTCAGTTGATGCTCACAGGGATATTGTAGGATTTGAATGAGATCATGTATGAAGGGCTCTTGGTGCTTAGAGCTTGCTTCTATCATCATCATCATCATTATCATCATCATCACCACCACCATTTGTCAAGCATCTGGTATGTATCAGGCACTGTGCTGGTAGTTTTATACATGATCTTGTTAATCCCTTCAAAAATCTATAGAGGCCGGGCACAGTGGCTCACGCCTGTAATCCCAGCACTTTGAGAGGGTGAGGCAGGTGGATCACATATTGTCAGGAGTTGAAGACCAGCCTGGGCAACATGGTGAAACCCAATCTCTACTAAAAAATACAAAATTAGCCGGGCATGGTGGTGGGCGCCTGTATCACACTACTCGGGAGGCTGAGACAGGAGAATCACTTGGGAGGCAGCCAGGTTGCAGTGGTTGCAGAGGAGCCAGAGGTTGCAGTGAGCCAAGATCATGCCACTGCACTCCAGCCTGGGTGATAGAGCAAGACTCTGTCTCAAAAAAAATTTTAAAGAGCCTATAGAGTTTGGAATTCTTATTCTTGCTGGAGATACAAAGAAATGGAGGCCGGGCCTGGTGGCTCACGCCTGTAATCCCAGCACTTTGGGAGGCTGAGGCAGGCAGATCACGAGGTCAGGAGATCGAGACCATCCTGGCTAACACGGTGAAACCCCGTCTCTACTAAAAATACAAAAAATTAGCCGGGCATGGTGGCGGGTGCCTGTAGTCCCAGCTACTTGGGAGGCTGAGGCAGGAAAATGTCATGAACCTGGGAGGCTGAGCTTGCAGTGAGCCGAGATCGTGCCACTGCACTCCAGCCTGGGGAACAGAGCGAGACTCTGTCTCAAAAAAAAAAAAAAAAGAAAGAAAGAAAGAAATGGCGATGCAGCCAGGTACAGTGGCTCACACCTGTAATCCCAGCAGTTTGGGAAGTTGAGGTGGGTGGATCAACTGAGGTCAGGAGTTTGAGACCAGCCTGGCCAACATGGTGAAACCCCATCTCTGCTAAAAATACACACACATAAAAATGGCCAGGCATGGCAGTGCACACCTGTAATTCCAGCTACTTGGGAGGGTGAAGTAGGAGAATTGCTTGAACCTGGGAGGTGGAGGCTGCAGTGAGCTGAGATTGCGCCACTGCACTCCAGCCTGGGCAACAGAGCAAGACTCCATCTAAAAAAAAAAAAAAAAAAAAAAAAAAAAAAAAAAAAAAAAAAGCTGGGGCGGGGTGCGGGAAAGAAAATGGAATGCAGAGAATGAAACTAAGAATCCTGGGGCACCCAGGAAGTTCCTCCTGTCCATAAATCAGAGCTCCTTCCTCACCTCACAGGCCCTTTGTGGCTGTCTTCTTAATTCCAGTGGCTCGTTCCACCCTTTTGAAGAAGGTTCAGGCAGAAGTGAGATGGGCAATCGGCAGACTTGATTAATGAAAACAATTGCCATTTATTAATCACCTACTATGTGCCAGGTGTCAACTGGGCAACAGAGCAAGACTCCATCTAAAAAAAAAAAAAAAAAAAGGCGGGGCGGGGGGGTGCGGGGAAAGAAAAATGGAGATGCAGAGAATGAAACTAAGAATCCCTGAGGCACCCCAGGAAGTTCCCTCCTGTCCCTCCAAATCAGAGCTCCTTCCTCACACTCCTGACCCTTGTGGCTGTGTTCTTAATTCCAGTGGCTCGATTTCACCCTTTTGAGAAAGGTTCAGGCAGAAGTGAGATGGGCAATCGGCAGACTTGATTAATGAAAACAATTGCCATTTATTAATCACCTACTATGTGCCAGGTGTCAACATTCATGATTTCATCTCATCTTTGCAAACATCCTGTGCTATTTACAGATGAAGAAATGAGACTCAGAAATGAATTCACTTGTCCACGGTCACACGGCCCCAGCGAGTCAAGGGGTTCTAAGTGAAAGCTGGGTTTCTGGTTGCCAAAGCTCTTTTCTCTGGTGTGTGCCTCTTTTCTGGGAGGAAAGAAAGGCAAAGCCATATTTGATCCATTATGCTAATTGGCGTTGTCATCATGGCCAACATTTACCGATCACTTTCCATGGTTCCAAACAAACACTATATATATAGAACATGAATACATATATGTTTAATCAGAAGCCCTATAAACCCTGTTGTTCTCATTTTACAAAAGAGACAACTGAAGCATAGAGAGGTTAAGTAGCATGCCCAAAGTCACTGCTGAAATTTAGACCCAGAAACTGGATATTTTAGTTTAGAAATGATGCTGTTAATACCACAGACTGAGGCCAGGTGCAGTGGCTCATGTCTGTAATCCCAGCACTTTGGGAGGCTGAGGTGGGTGGATCACTTGAGGTCAGGAGTTCCAGACCAGCCTGGGCAACATGGTGAAACCCCCTCTCTACCAAAGAATAAAACAAATTAGCCTGGCATGGTGGCAGGTACCTGTAGTCCCAGCTACTCGGGGAGGCTGAGGTGGAAGGATCACTTGAACCTGGAGGTTGCAGTGAGCTGAGGTCACGCCACTCCACTCCAGTCTGGGTGACACAGCGAGACTCTGTCTGGAAAAAAAAAAAAAGCAAAACCAAAAACCACAATCTGATGCCTCCCAACGACTGGAAAACTAGTGCTCACAAAATGTCAGTAAAGAAAAAGCTGCAAGCTTGGGAAGGGGCTGGGGGCAGGGATGAGGGTGTGTCAGGCCTGGGTCTTGATTCTCTCTCCTTGCCCAGGTCCCCAGTCCTCCTCCCTGTCCTCAGGGGCCATCGCTGGTATTGTCATTGGGATCCTGGCTGTCATTGCTGTGGCCTCAGAACTGGGCTATTTTCTCTACATCAGAAATGCCAGACGGTAATACAGGGATACAGGGTGGGGGATGGGGGTGTGGCCAGCAGGGGGCGCGCCTGCCTGGCGTGTTGCTGACCATGGTGCTGAGTCGTGTCTGGCACCTAGGGAATTCAGAGGGTTGGGGACACTGTCCAAGAATGGACATGGTATACGGACAGAACCTGTGGAGATGGGCAAGGACTAGAGGCACAGAAGAATGAGGGTTTTGGGGTTTCAGGCCCTCAAGGAAAACAACAGAGGACCCCAGTCATGAGACCTCACAACCCACTCCAAAGGAGGAGCACCCCACAGAGCCCAGTTCCGGTGAGTGACTCTATGGATGATGCCTGGGGCAGGAGTGAGGGCTGGAGAAGAGGCTGGTGCTGGGGGCTCCCAGCTTTGCCACCAGGTCACTGTATGATCAGGGCAAACCCTGCCCACTCTGAGCCTCTGTGTTCCCATCTGGAATATGGATGAGATTGGAGTTAAGCCCTCTGACGGGTTCTGCCTGTTCCAACAGTCATGGCAAAAGCAGGACAACATGCTGGAATGCTCTCCTTTCTCAATCTCAGAAAACTTTGTTAATTGATTGTTGTAGACAGAACGAATCAATCACAACACTCCTTCCTGCTGAATCCAAATCCAGCCTCATATCTCAATAGAGTGCCTCGAGTGCCCTCTACTGATGGGTTAGAGTTAACCAAAGACAAAATGAATCATATTTGCCATCTCTAGGTCTGGGATTCTGGAAGGATAGGCCTTTTGATATGGAAGGCTTTCTAGAAACTGTCCAATCCAGCCCCATTTTACAGAGAGGAAAACCAAGGCCATGGGGGATGAAGGGCTAAACCCAGGCTACAGAGGACCCACTGTCAAAACTGGGGCTAGAACTTAGATTTCTCTCCTCATTTGTGTCACCAAACAGCCTTACCTAACCCAGAACTTGACTTCCAGGACATTCCCAGGTCAAGCTCAGTGGAAATACGACAGGGCGTCTTGGGAAGGAAGACTTCTGCACTTTTTTTCTGGGGACAGGGGTCCTGGAAAAACAGCCCCTTGCCCCATATCTCTTTCTAACTCCAGCTCCTGACTGAGATTCACTTTTTCTAGAAAGCCTAAGTCCTGAGTATTGCAACATATCCCAGCTTCAGGGACGAATCAGAGTCGAAAAGGTGAGTGATGCTGCAGAGGGACCCTACTTAATCCGCCGACCAGGCTGCTGTAGTCTTACTTCTTAGGGTGGGGACTGGCATGATATTTTGAGAAAACCCAGTGCCAGGTTGAGTCTCTCTGCATCTCCTCCTCTGACTTCTCTGAGGATCTTAAGACCCTTCTGAGTTTTTTCATCTCTTCTCCTTGTCTTCTTACTCCTTGACATGACAGTTTCTAGCTTTGAGCCCTCTGGGAATCAGAAGACCTATAACTGCCTCTGAAGCCAAAGCTATTTCTGAGAATCTCTTGGGGTGCCCCTGTTCCAAGCCCTATGACCTCTCTGCAACTTTGTTTTTCCCCAGATGCAACCACCAGACCTTCCAGAGGAGACCTATGAGGTACATTGGCCCTGCTGGGTTTGGCTAAAGAATCTGTGGAGGAAAGACAGTCTGAGAATTTTATGTGTGATAAGCCTGAGAGATGATCTTGTCTAAAGCTTTCATGGCACATCACAGGGCCGGGGATGGGAAGAGAGTAGCCTAAGGCTTCACAGGGAGCTGGGTCAGATGCCAAGACCCTGGATCCTCTTTTGTTCCTTCCACCTCCAGGGCTTAGAATTGGATTGCCAGTGAGGTAGTACTGGACCAGCACATGCTGGGGTGAAAAGGAGGCTGGGAGTAAAGGTTGCAGAGCCAGCAGGAAAAAGGAGAGTTCTGGGCCAGGGCAAGGGCCTGGGTTCTAACCCTGCTTCCACCTCTGATTCTCTGCAAGAATCTGAACAGATTCCTTCCACTCTCTGGGTCTCTGAAGAGTGTAAGTTGGTATATTCCTGGCAATCTGTGACTGTAGGCCCTGCCTGATTTCTCTGCTTACTTGCAGACAAAGCTGCCTTCAGCAAGCCCTGGAGGCAACTCTTTTAGCCCCTGGAAGCCACCACCCAAACCTCTGATGCCCCCACTCGGATTGCTCTCCACTGTGCCAAAAAACACGGAGTCAACCTATGAGGTATGTTTATGCCACACTGAGTCTTTGGACAGGTGGAAATCTGTCACCAATCTGGTTTTTCTTCCCTACTAAAGAGTCTATAGGATGAACTATAAAGAAAATTTCCCTTTAAAAATCTTCTCAATTCCATCCTACCCATTTCCATCGTCTCATTTTCTAGTTAGTTTTCCTTCATTCCTTTCCAATGCATTCCATTTTATTGCATTCCATGTTTCACTCCACCCATTTCCTTTCTATCTATTTAGCTTTATTCGTTTTCTGTATTTCCATATCACTTCACTCTGCCATTTTCTTTCCATCCCATTTGGTTTTATTTCCTTTCACTCTATTTCCCCCCATCCTATCTCTTCCCATTCACTCTACTCTATTCCATGCCTTTTTTCTTTTCTTTTCTTTTTCTTTTTCTTTTTTTTTTTTTTTTTGAGACAGGGTCTTGCTCCATCACCCAGACTGGAGTGCAGTGACTCAATCTCTGATCACTGCAATCCCCGCCTCCCAGGTTCAAGGGATTCTCCCACTTCAGCTTCCTCAGTAGCTAGGACTACAGGCACGAGCCATTACACCCAGCTTATTTTTTTATTTTTTGGTAAAGATGGGGTTTCACCATGTTGGCCAGGCTGGTCTTGAACTCCTGACCTCGATTGATCTGCCCACCTTGGCCTCCCATCATGCCTGGCTCATTCCATGCCTTTTCATTCCATCCCACTCAGCTCTGTTTGATCCCTTTACACTCCTTTCCATCTCTTATTTCATTCCTTTTCATTCTTTTCCTTTCTTTCTATTACATTTTATCCATTTTTATTTTTTCTTTTAATTCATTTCATTTATTTTACATTCCATTACACTCTATTTTATTCCAGCCCACTCAATTCCCATCCCACAACTTTATTTCATTTCCATTCTTATTCTTCCCATCCCATTTCAGTCCTCTTATTTCCATCCATATATTTAATCCATTTCATCCGTTCTGTTTTCTACCTCTCCGTTCCTTCCTAGTCAATGTCCCTATTTACATTCATTTCCATTTGATTGGTTTTCATTTCATTCCACTGCATTCCAGTTCTTATTCTTTATATTCCTTTCCCATTCACTTTTTCTTTTTTCCCATTCCCTTCTTTCTTTTCCATTCACTTTCTCTTCTCCATCCCCTCCCCTTTCATTCAATTCTATTTCACTGTTTTCCATTCCTCTCCCTCTGTTCTCTTCAGTTCCTTTCCCTTTTCATTTCTCTCCAATCCATCCCACTCTATTCTATTCCATTCCATTCTACTCCATGTTTTCTCACTTCATCCTGTCCCTTTATGCCCTTTATGGCACTTCATTCCCTTGTCTTTATTACTTTCCTTTTGAAGCTTTCCATTTAATTTCTTCTTTTCAAGTCATTCCATTCCACTCCTTTTCACTTCATTTAAGCTCTTTCCATTTCTTTGCAGTCCTTTGCATTTCCTACTCTTTACACCATTGATTTCAGTTTCATTTCATCTCATTATTTTATATTGCATGGCATTCCATTTCATCCCTTTTCTGTTTTGTTTTAATTTTGTTGCTTTATTTTTGTTCTTTAATGTTAGACTTTCCTTCTACTATATTACTTTTCTCTCATTTCCTCTCCATTTCTCTCCCCCTCATTACCTTATTTTATTACTCTCTTTTCTGCTCCATTTTATTTTACTTTCTTTCTTTCCACTACAATTTTCCTTTTCATTTAATTTCTTTCATTTGCACTTCTTTGGACATCATGCCATTTTATTTCACTCCATTCTCTGCCTTTGATTTATATTGTATTCCTTTCTGTCCTATTCAGTTTCCCTCCATTTCATTTATGCCTTTGCCATTTCTTTCAGTTACATTCCTAAACAGTCTGTTCCTTTTCATTCCCTTCCTTTCCTTTCCAATCTTTCATTTCATTCATGATATTTACTTCCCCACATTTTTCTCATGGGAGATTTGAAGCAGTTTTTCCTGTGGAAGATTTGAAGCATTATATACATTACAAAATGGTGTTAAATTAGAAATAGAAATTACAATCAGAAAAAACATTTTTAACAATAGCAAGAAGTCAAGATATGGGTAAAAAGTAAAAAATATATGCTGGGCCTACATGATATCTGCCCCTATATCTCTTATGTGTCTCTAAGCTTCCTGGTAACAATAAAACAGAGAGGTATGATTAGTTACATCATTCAAAAAGAAGAAAACTGGGCCAGGCATGGTGGCTCATGCCTGTAATCCCAGCACTTTGGGAGGTGGAGGTGAGCAGATCACTTGAGGTCGGGAGTTCGAGACCAGCCTGGCCAACATGGTGAAACCCCGTCTCTACTGAAAATACAAAAATTAGCTGGGCATGGTGGCAGGCACCTGTAATCCCAGCTACTTGGGAGGCTGAGGCAGGATAATCACTTGAATCTGGGAGGCAGAGGTTGCAGTGAGCTGAGGTCCAGCCACTGTACTCTAGCCTGGGCAACGGAACAAGACCTTGTCTCAGAAAAAAATTAAAAAGAAGAAAACTATTAGTTCATCCAG